GAAGGAAGCAGAAGACGAGGAAATTGTGCAGGGCCCTCGCCGGGACTCGAACCTGCACTTCTCGTATACGCGCCGAGTGTGCTACCGTTACATCACGAAGGCATGCAGTAAGGAGGGAGAAAATATACTTAACTTTTTCTTGCAGGAAGTATTCTTTATAGTTTTCTTTATTTGAGAAAGATGTTCCATTGTATTATTTTTAACACTTTCGTCTAAATTCAATTCATTTTCCATCAATGATAAGCACATGTTAAATTTTCAAACTAATTTAAAGGTGCATTTATATTTTTTATTTAATAAACACTAGTCAACTAGTGTGAATACATTATACACTGGTGTGCAAAAATTAAGGACGAAATTGAAAAATTAGCATATCAGCTGAACGAAGAGGCAGAGCGGACAGAAAGACCAATCAGGAGATTAAGTAAGGTAATGTACGGTAGCACATGCGCAGATATGCAGGTAGACGTAATGGGGGAGTGTCTGAGTAGTATAAAGCATGTTGTCGGTGTAAGATCAGTATTTATGGGAAAGAGATTGCACGCCGTATAGCAGGTAAAATCACACCGAGTTGCTGCCTCAGCGAGAAATGGCGAATAATCAATCTGTTAGACGACATCTGGATGCTTTTACCCGAGGTCGAATCATTGGGAAGTTGGAGGAAGGCCGCAGTGTGACAAGTGTGGCTGCAGAGTTCGAAATTGCTCACAGCATCGTTTCACGACTTTGGAGACTTTCAAACTACAGGAACAGCTATCCGGGGGTTTAGTAGTGGTCGTCCACGAGGAACCACACCCGCAGATGACCGGTATATTGCTTTACAGGCCAGAAGAAACAGGCGGCAGACAGCAGGAGAAATCACTAGACACACGACACAGGCGACTGAACGACCGATATCGCGTTTTACCGTGGGCAGAAGACTGCACGGTGGTGGTCTGTTTACACGACGCCCTGTACGGTGTGTACCTCTAACGCCTGCCCATCGGAGAAGGCGTTCTCTGTGGTGCCGGGAACACCGGAATTGGAGAGACATTGAATGGGGACGAGTACTCTTTACAGATGAGAGCAGATTCAGTCTGAGTAGCGATTCTCATCGCATACTCATCTGGAGAGAGCGGGGAAGCCGCAATCATCCCTCGAACATCATTGAAAGGGACAGGTATGGAGGTGGCGGTGTGTTCTCGTTTGGGGGGAGGCATCATGCTTGGTAGTCGTACAGACCTTCACATCTTCGACGCAGGTTCAGTCAACGGGACCCGTTATTGTAACGAGATTCTTCTTCCATATGTGCGTCTTTTTAGAGGCGCTATGGGTCCGCAGTTCCTTTTCATAGACGACAATGCACCATGTCATCGCACAGTAGCTGCCGAACAGCTCTTAGAGAGTGAGGATATTGAACGTATGGATTGGCCGGCATGATCTCCGGATCTCAATCCCATCGAGCATGTATGGGATTTTCTAGGCAGACGCTTGGCAGCTCGTACCTTACCACCAGTAACGATTCCGGAGCTTCGATTGGCGCTGCAAGACGAATGGGCAGCAATGCGTCAACAACTCATTGACACCCTCATTCTCAGCATGGGCAGACGCTGTGAAACCTGCCTAGCAGTCAGGGGAGATCATATCCCCTATTAAAGACCGGATGTTTGCTGGTGTAATTGCTGGACACCCATCACAGGGATGTTTCGGCCTTCAGTCGCATTGCGCTCCATGCTACTTTTTCAATAAAGCTTCTTTTTATCCCTCTGATTTCTCTTTTAGTAAGTGTTGCTTACATTACTCATGTCCTTACGTATTGGGGATCTTACGGTATTAAATGTGTTGATTTGGAAAGCTTTTGTACAAAGTTATATTGAAAAAATCGTCTCGTCCTAAATTTTTGCACACCAGTGTAATTCTTTTCGAGTCGCAGAGAACCCTGGAATTTGAGTTGCGGTACCCACCGAGTTCCGGGAACCACAATTTGAAGACCACTGCCCTTCACGATCATATTCGCCTAGTTATTGTTTTAAATTCCGACTATTTAATACTATGCACTTACTGTTTATTTAACACACTTAAGAAAATCAACTTACTATTGCCTTAGTTTAATTACGGTTTTGAATTTCACTGATTTAGTAATTTAGTTTGAATGAGCTAGAAGAATTATCTTTAAATGATAATTTTATTTAAGTAAATATACTGATTATTAGTCTGGTTAGGCAAATCTTCATCATCGCTTTCTTCTCATTGTATTGTTTCAGATACTTCAAAACTTTCAAGGCCATTTGCACTGTATTCCGTCGCTCTTATTAGTTTCTGCCAATAATATGTACCCTATTATCATAACTTTATTGATTAGCTGTAACATTAAATCGAACAAAAATGATGATTGTAATAGACGATGTAGATGCTAATGTGATTAAAAAGTAGGTATGAGTTGAAAATTCATTAAAGAGGGCGAGAAAATGTCAAGAATAATGAATTGTTTTCATTATTTAATGAAATGAACAATGAATGAGTATTTCAGAGAGGAAAATATCGGATGGATCATTTGGCTATGTCAATATTTTCAGAAAATCTATTCTTCAGGCAAAAGAGAAAAAGGCATCACATGTCATTTCTAATCATTATCTTTTATAAGCAAAAGTTAAATTAAAACATTTTAGTTGCAGGGCCCACCAGCGGCCGAGGGGTAAAGTCGCTGAACACTGGTAGTTCGGTCCGAGGTTCGAATCCCGCGAACGGGCTGGCTGCATGGGCGTTTTCGTGGTTTTCCCCATGTGTAACGTGTATACGAGCCAGTTTCCCTTAGAAAGTCCTCCACGAAAGGCATCCCTCCCCTTAGGCAGATAGCCCTCGTGTGCTTTGCCATAATTAAATACACCAAAAATACACACACCATTTTAGTTGCAGACATAAAAATTAAGAAAATTAAATATATACCAGCACACTGAAAGCGAAAAATAGTCATTGTCAAGATAAGTCTGCTTTTAAGAAACTTGTGACCAAAATAAAATTAGCCCAAACTGAGTCATGTATTGAAACTAATTTTACAAAAATACTTCATGCATTAGAAAGCAGTATTCATTTTAAAGGGGAAAAAAAGGTTCCTTATCGTTCTATCAAATACTTTTTTAAAACTAAAGGAATAAATGAAAAACGTTGCAATTCTGTTTAGGAAAACAGAGCTAAAGTAAATTTCTTCAGAAAGGTTTTTGTAAGTGGAGTATGAAAGTATGAATTATGAAGCTATTTTTTTATAAACATGAAAGATTTTACATTCTCCAATGTCTCTCACATTTAAACATTTGATTCGACAGAATATATGCGAGTTGTTATACGAGAAGTAATGATTTAAGCAATTACTCCTCATAATGCTATCACGTATTTCTTCCTCCTTCTAGCATGCCTTCGTGGTGTAATGGTTAACACACTTGGCCTGTGTTCGAGAGCTCCAGGTTCGAGTTCCGGCGAGGGCATTGCGCATTTTTCACAACACCTGCTTTAAAAATACCTAATATCTCTACAATGAAAATGAAACTCTGATTTCACAAACTTTTAATTTCAGGAGCTCAAAGCAAATAAAGCAAAAATTAAGCAAACAAAGCAAAAAAGAAACAGTTTTTCACAGACGATTGAGTATTTCTCATTCAATTAATTTTCTCACTTCCTGACAAGGCAAAAATACATAAAAACTCAAAATATCTGTATTAAAAATTACGAAGTAAATCTTAAACACTTATTTCCTCGAAAAAATTCCAAAAAGGATTAAGCATGATTTAATTCGCAATAATAAATGAAGGCGTTATCTTTGTTGTTGGGAAGCTTAGTTTCTCTAGATTGGCAACAAATCCGCTTTTTTTGCCAAGTTTGAAATATAAACAAACATGTCCGCCATCCGCAAAATTCATTAGGCTTAGCCTCACTTAAACAACTTTTAAACTGTTGATAACTCCACAAATATTGCATGCAGATTTACTAGGAATACAAACCTTAACCGGAAGAGAAGAATAACGTAATTCAATCATTTTTTAAAGCAAAAAATGCACAATTTACAAACATATAAGAATAAAGAAACTGAGCTCACTGAACCGAGTAACAGAGTGGATATTCTAACAAAATACGAGGTGCACATCTACATGTTATAGCAGTCCTACATGCAAAATTTCAACGTTTTGAGGCTACTCGTTTTTGAGTTATTCGAGATACGTACACCTACGTGCATACATACGTACGTACGCACAGACGCCAAGAAAAATTCTTTTCAGAATTCCTTTTAAATCAGTTTTATAATTTTTTGGGGGGGGGGAAAGAGTCCTTTATTCTGCCCTTACTTGCGGATGTCACGCAAAAACATCATTAAGTTGCATTAGCGGTCAAAATCAATATTTTCCTTGAAATATGATACCCGAAATTTTTCGTGATTACAATACTTCCTTTTTACTTCGGACAAGGAAGTAAAAAAAAAAAAAAAAAAAAAAAAACAGTGAGGTGAAAACATATTGAAATTCGTACAGTGACATTTTCAGTAAAACTGTAGAGATCATTAGATGGCATTTTATTTCACAGCAGATAACGTGAAAAATATGCAACGCTCTCGCCCGGATCCGAATTCCCGACTTCCCGATTGCTAGCCGGACGGGCTTCCAATTACACCATAAAGGTACGCGGTGAAAAAGGTAATAACTTTCATTCTACTCCACTTAAATGTTGACTGTACAGGACGAACTCAGTTATCAAATCCTGGTGGTGACGAATTATCTTGGTAGTGGCTATTGGTTGAGTCATAGGTTTGTCTGGGCAAGCCTAATGACCCCCTTCGCTTTTAAGAGAGAATTTTTAAAACGAAGAGTTTAATAATTCCTAAATTAAAAAAAAAAAGCTAAAGGAATTTATATTTATTAAATTTCGTTTCTGAAAATCTTACATATTAAAGTCTAGAATTCGTAATAACAAACTATAGATCCTAAAAGAAAATTTAGATTTTTTTTTTTTTTTTTTTCTAAATTCATCCTTACCTTCTACAGCTTCCTCTACATTTTCTGCCGGGTACGATTTAATTTCTTCCTCATAAGTTAGACAAATGTTATCCAGTCGTTGTTCTATCTCACACACAGTATTCTTCAGATCTTCCACTATTTGTTTCAAATGATTTATTTTATCTAAAACCTCTTCTTCTTTAAATATCTTCATATCGCTATCCATCCTTTCCGCCATTTTATCTAGGAACACATTAATAGACAAAAAGTATTGTATAGAATTGAAATAAAAACAAAATGAAATTTTACATAAGCTAGAATTGTTTAATAATTATTTACGTAAACCTTTTCCAATCTTTATTATCATGTTTACCAGTGATGAAGGTAAGAAATATGTAAAAAAATAAAGCTTTTTGCCTTTACTCTGCTTTATTCATTGTTATTAGCTTGGTCGTCATTCCAGGTGGTCCGATAAAGATTGTTTTGGCTTTTGAATCATATGATATAAAAGGTTTCAAAGTTTAAATGGCGTATTAAATCTACAAAGTGGTCTCAGTCTTGGGTAGTTTTAAGAAAAAGTCATATTCGTTAAAAACGCATATTCGTAAAAATCATCCTATTCATAAAATCCTATTCAATATCATCCTATTCATAAAAAAATTAATAAGAAAAATAAAATTTTCATTTCATTTTATTTTATTTTAAACCATATGATTTGGTTTATTTTATGTCATTACGGCAAAGCCTCGAGGGCTGTCTGCCCAAGGAGAGAGATGCCTTCGTGGACGACTTTCTAAGGGAAACTAACTCGTATATACATGGGAAAAATCACGAAAATTCCCATGCAGCCAGCCCGTACGCGAATTTGAACTCCAACCGAACTACCAGTGTTCAGCGTCTTTGCCGACTCAAGGATTCAAGGAACAAAATCAAGGATTTCAAAACGAGCAATGGCAACGTTGTACAGAAAAAAACACTTTTAACACCAGCGCGCGATACTGTATATCGGAAATTCTAAAGATATGCTCAATTTAAAACTATTTTGCGATATTGCTCTTGAACTGAATTTTATGGTTTAAATGGAGAAGAACGTGATATTTAATAATTTAAAATCTGAAACCTTTCAGACTTTTTTTTTCGTATGTTTTCTTTTCGTCAAAATTTATTTGCAAAGTACAACAGAGCATGTTAAAATACCTAAAGAAAGCTGATGCAAATTTGGAAATAGGATATCACATTTTTGTAATAAAATTTTTTGTTAAAGTTGCTTACCTTCCTTGTTCCTATAATTTCTCCTAAGTAAAAGAAAATTCTAGCAGAGTTCTCTTAGTTTGCTAAAAGAAAACTGAAACCAAATCAAACTTCGCTGTTTAATCTCTTTGATAAAAGAATAATGATAATATCGTTTTGCTGAAGAGAATCAGTGATTTCTTTCTTACTAAGGAATGATTAAAAGAAAAATTATGAATCTTGGAATTTTTTGGGAAAATAAATGGTCAAACTTATTTCGTTAACATACGCAGTTAAGTGTTTAAATGATATCTAATTTTTAATTTGTGAAGGAAATTCAAAAATCAAGTATAAAATTTAGAAATGTAAGCGGAGAAAAAGAAAGTAAAAAAATATGAAAATCAATTTTTGCTTAAAAATTAAAAACAAAAACCAAAATATGGGTTTATAAGGTATTTTTCTCTTAAAGTTCTTAGGAAATAATTGTAATGAAAGACTTATTTGGCCATTAATGGCCGAATCCATAATGCCAGTGGATACTCGTAGGTCAGTCCCAGGAAATGGCAACAAGTATTCTTTTGTAGTCTTTCGTTCCCATGAATACGAGCTTATTTTCCTTAGCCTGCTTTTTATTAACTAGTTAACCAAACCAAATGGAAAGCTTATTTAATTGCTAATTATAATTGTTTAATAATTAAAACCAGTAAAATCACTATCTAATATTTTTCAATATTTCTAATTTTTGAAAGGGTGTTTTGCCTCTCCGGTTTGTTCCATTGTAGACAAACTTTAGCGAGGTGTGTTAATTTTCCATATATGTAACAATCTTTGGGTGGATATTTACTTTTATTTAAAGTTTTTCTCATATGAAGCGGGGATATATTTTGATTCTCTTGAAGACTCGGATAACCTAGCTATATTTTCGTCAATCATAGAAGGGTTTCGTTTAACGACCTGCCTTTGTTTACGAAATATAGGTCAACTTCTTTAGATAAATCACTAGGTTTTAGTCAATTTTTTCCTGTTTTGATATTTTGTCTATCTAATGTTTAAAAAATTTTGTCTGAAATCGTTAGTTGACACAATGTATCAATGAGTCTTTTACTTCGCTTAATTGACAGTGTTACTGGAAATTTGAACATATGACTGTTTAGGCTCGAGTTGTGCTCTTCGGAAATTCATTAAACATTCGTAAGTAGTTGGTTGATATTCTTTTAATGCTATTTTTAATGGTTTCATAATATTTTAATTCTTCATCATTAATATAAAATGTTAGTTGCCTTATCAACTAAAATGTTAATCAAAACTGCAGTTTTGAACTTTTCTGGAGCGTTTTTTTGTAAGGAATGCTCTTTCTAATGTTTGAAAAAACAAACTGAAGTTTTCCGATCTTCCGGGACCTAGGCTAGTTAACGTTTACAGACCTTTTATCAGATTTTCTGAATAATTTCCAGAACCTGATATCTTTATCTGTGATATTTATTCATGCGAGATTCACCTTTAACCGCGTTCTAATTTTTAACTTTTTCCACTCTGAATTCCTTTTTTAGCTGCGCTAATTTTAATTTCTCAAATTCAATTTTTGGATCTTCTAAGGTTAATTGTGTATCCTTAGGCAAAATATATTAACTTTTCTATACCTGAAGCATGGCATGCTACAAATTAATGACAAATCCTGTTAGAAATTTAATTATTCATCATTTTGAAGATGGTAAAATGTTTGAAATATCCAAAAGATCCTTGATATAAAGCGTTCAACTATCTTTGATCTTAAGAAAACAATGGCAATTGTATGTAAACTGTTGAAAATGCTCTGGAATATGTTTCAAGGTAAAATCAATGAACTGGGGATTTATCCTATGAAAAATCGAACAAGACCCAAAAATCAGTGCTGCAAAACTTGTAGCGGTTACTAAAAGTTAACACTAAAACTATTATTAGGGCAATGAATACAATGTGCAATCAACTAAAAGGAAAGATAGGTTTAGTTATTCAAATATCAAAGCATCTAACGGCTATTTGCCTAAAGGAATGACTGCTTTCACGAAGGACTTTTCTAAGAAAAAATTCTCTCGTAGTCATATTTGACGTGGGAAAACTACCATGTAGCCAGCCCGGAATCGAGCTTTGGTTGAACTTCCAGTACTCAGCGGTCTTACTCCTTCCGCTACTGGTAGAGGGGGGGATTCAGCAAGAAGAGAATTCTTCATCAACAAAGAAAATATGCCTGGCATATGCTAAATCCATTATAAGTAAAGATATATTGGAGCAATGTTATATTTATTGACGATTCAAAATTTAATACATTTGAGCCCGGTGGATGAATTACTGTGTGGTGAAAGCCGAACAAAGAACTGAGTCCATTGCCTAGTGTTCAGCATGAATGGTAAGCATTATGTTTTGGGGATGCTTGCTGCCCTTGGGATACAGGTTTGTATGCATATTTCAAAGATAAAAATAGCTAACACTGATTGCACTGAAGGACCATAGCTTCACCACATTTACTTGTTGAATAATAAATATATTTAATATTATTTTAATGACTTAGTAATTTAATATTAATTTAATGATTTAGTGATTTAGTAACATTATCAACATTTAATAAAAAATCACAATATTCGTTGAAATAAGAATACACAGGTGACATAACGTATCGGTTGACAATTATCAGTGCGGGACAGGGTAATATTTATGCATTGGCAACACTTGCCAAAAGGTCAAAAAATTTCGGAAATACTCCACAAAAGATTTTTTTAATGTAAACAATTCCATTTTTATAGGATAAAAAGGACTCCAGATATCCTTAATTCAAATTTTGAGAAGGAATTAACAAACACTGAAATCAGAAAAATCAGCTCCAAAATCAGGAAAATTTAAAAATCGGGAAAATATTTAAATGTTTAAATCAGGAAAAAACTGGAAGTTGTATTTGTTTCCTTATATAAGTGTCCTGGAGGGCCAGTCCACCCTCGGATGCCCTAGAAAAGTAGTGCCGATAGCTTGGAGCTGTGATGAAATCCAGATCATAGACCTTATAAGATATAGACTAACCCAGTGGGCGGGGCGCGCGTCACCGACATGTCGGCAAGAAAGAGTAGGGACGACCTGGTTACTTTAATACTGACACCTATGGCGTTTGTATAACATAGCTCTTTTTAATTATTACATGTGATACGTTGTATAGTGATGAGATTACGAAAGCCACAGTTTTTTCCAAATAGGATTTTTGCATCTAATGGTTCTGTGAGACTAAAGGTGCATCCAAGAGATAATAAGAGGCTTTGTAAACATTAACAACATTTATTTACAAGAAAATATATAAAAATTTCAATCAATTAGAGATATATTATTAGGCATCTCTGCCTTCCATGTCCTACACCTTTAGTATCCTGCCTGCCACTGACTATTGGAACGAACACAGCTCCCTCTAGTCAGAATGACGCTGGAAATATGTAATACTCCCCACCTGAACTCACTTGAGTTCACTTACCATTGAATATTAACTAAATTTACATTCAGGAACCATTTAAAATTACAAGAATAAAAATATATAAATAGCATATCATATCAAATACAAAGCTTCAAAATTATTCAGTGACTTGACATACAAAAACCAATTACACTTTTAACTTCCAAAGTAAAAATGTTCAAATATCAAGCCTTAAAATATAAGCACAACTAAACTATTATTAATACACAGATAGAACGTTAATATGTTGCAACTCAATTAAACTAACACAATTAAGGATTAATTTCCAAATCCAATTCCAAATTATACAAAAGTTGTACTGAGCGTTTTATTTGTCCTTTAGGAGTCTGAATAAGAAGAGAACGAACTTTTCCATCTCTTCCTGGATATGCTCTAAAATTTTTTCCATCATCCACATATTTCTGGGATAACGCTCATCATTAATCAAAACAATATCATTCACTTTAAATGAAACTATATTACCTGGTTGTGGAGAAATATAAGCTGATCTTAGATTAAGTAAATATTCCTTTCCCCACCTGTTCCGGAAGTGATTCAAAAGTGTTTGCTGATATTTATATTTCTTTACCAAAGAATGCCTATTAACATTAAAATTTTCATTTTTATGTTTTATTACAGGTAAAGACACCAATCTTTTACCAATAAGAAAATGAGATGGGGTGAGTGGAGAGGGTTCTGAGGGTTCGTTGTACAGATACGTGATAGGCCTAGAATTAACCAGAGCTTCAATTTCCGAAAAAACAGTTTCCAATTCCTTCAAAGAGAGAGAGGATCGTCCAACAATTTTCTTTAAGCAGGTTTTAACCTTTCGTATCTGTCTCTCCCAGAAACCTTCCCACCATGGACTTTTTTCAACTATAAAATTCCAAACTATACCTTTGGAAGCAAACAAATTTTTAACTTGATCATTATCTATCTGATTCCACCATTTTTTCAATTCACTATTTGCTTTTCTAAAAGCTTTGGCGTTATCAGAATATATAGTGGAACATAATTCTCGACGAGAAACACATCGTCGGAATCCTAACAAAAAAGAATCAGCTCTTATGTTAAGAACTACTTCTAAGTGGATAACTCTTGTCACTGCACAGCTGAATATAAGTAAATAACACTTTGAATTAAAATCACGAACAAAAAATGGTCCGGCAAAATCCACACCGCATATATCAAATGGTGGATGCTCTTGAATTCTATCAGGCGGTAAAGGGGCAACCACCTGCATTCCAGATTTCACTTTGAATCGTCTACAAATCAAACAGTTATTTAACACTTTTTTCACAAATTGACGACCTTCAACAATCCAGAATTGTTCTCGTAAATATGTTAAAGTTGCATCAACACTTAAATGGCACATTTTAGTATGAGAATCACAGATAAGTAGTTCAACAAATTTATCATTAGATGGAAGAAGCCAAGGATGTTTGGCTCGCATATCGTTACTTGAAAACTGTAAACGTCCCTTTAAACAAAGTAAGTTATTATCATCAAGTTCAGGATTCAAATTAAATATGCGTGAACTCTTATCGATAGTTCCTTTAGAAAGAAGTTGGGTAACTTCTGTACTATAATGTTTGAATTGAGTAGCTTTGATCCAAAAACGCAAAGCTTGCTCGAGTTCTGGAGCACATATAGGTCCATTTAATTTTGTAGAATTAGGTTTAGAATTGTGCACAAACCTTTTAATCCAAGCAGTAACACGCAGTAATCTACTTATTTCGCGAAGTCATTAACGTCCAGTAACGACGACTGCAATAGGCAAGCACTGTTACATTTCTGCAAGTCGTCCCTACTCCTTCGGATGTGATCAAGGTGACAGCCGGGAACGCCGCGGACGAGGGAGAAAACCCATTTGGGTTAGTATATTTCTTATAAGGTCTATGATCCAGATGCCGTGACGTCATTCTCTCTACTACTACGAGCTCCGAAGGCGCCAAGCAAAATTAGGGGATTTACCGTTTTGAGATGATACACGATTGACGTAGGAGCAGAGACGCTGCTTCTGTTTAAAACGAACTTGGACGAATCATTACGTTTTTAATTCTCGTAAATGTTAAATTTATAAAATCACATATAATACGAAACTTGGGGGGAGGGGGTAACTAAATAGGAGTAAAAGTTATATGTTTCACAGAATCCCTCATGTATTGGTCAGTCTTCTCGCTCATTGAATTGAGGTCCCTGTCTTACTTCACTATGAGCTGCTACTTATTTATATGTTAATTTTTAGGCTTTAGATTAATAAAGAGAATCACACAGTTATAAATATTGCAGAAACGTAGCTTGCTTTTAGCTTGTAAAAAGAATCCAAATACTAAATTTAAAAAATAAAATTGCGAAATTCTTTAATTTAAGCAATTACCCGAAAAGCCAGTTTACATTAAATCGAAACAAATAACAACTAATAATTTTAGAAACAAATAACAACGCGTTTAATACAACTAAAATTAAAATTATGAAATTATGGAGAAGTATTGATATACAATCTATATAAAATATATGAAAAATATTATTATACAATTCATGACGTAAGCAAATAATCCATTTAGATTATTTATATTTCCCACAATGCATGAATTCAGCTAAATATTTATGTAAGCATATAATAACGCTGGATTTCTACTTTTAAGACGGCAAGTCTTGATGCTCGAATTCCGTAACATTTTCCTTTTTCAGTAACACTCCATAATATTTATGTGAGCTGTATACATCGAGCTTAAAATATCACAAAAGGCCAAATTATTAGATACGTGATGTGGAAGATAGAATAATCTAGAAATTATCTGGAAATGAAACATGTGTGATTACAATATTTAACGAATATAATTTCTTTCTGATTCAAAGCATAATATTATGGTATAGATAATGGGTCAAAATTGGCATAAAGCAGAATTTTTTTTTATTATTTCCACATGTTATGGAGTCATTAAATGTGCTTCATGCACTGATAAATTTTCTAAATTCTAACTTTTTAAATTAAAACAAATTTTTCACTTAACTTACCTTTCTGTCAGAATAAGCAGTGTTCGGACGTAGTTAAGATAAGCAGCCTGAGGTGGGAGTACCAGAGGTTCTGAAAGATTGTGATATCGGAATTTTTAAAGTATGTCTTTTTAAACGGAAGGCGCGATAAACACTTCCGCAAAGAACCCGGTAAATGTAAACATCACCAACATTGGGGATAATAGTTCAAACCTGGTAACCCATCGGATTCAACCTTTTCGCTTGTTCGAAGGTTGCAACCATTCTTCTTATGTTGACTTGAATTACAGCCCTCGTTGTTCGCATTTGCAGATTTAAATCATTCTTCACTTATTTATTATTATGTTTTCGGATTTTCATGTTATTTTTGTGGATTTTTAACAATGAATAGATAGAAATATTTTGTATAATTAAGAAAGTTTTCGGTGACAGATGTTAGTTCGCCGAAGAAAATAGGCGGGAGGGGGTGAATGATAATTGGTAACCATTAAACACGCAGAACCTTGAGGTTTCCAGCCCCTAAAATCTTTTGATTTCGTGGGCCGCTTAAATATGCATTTTAAATAATTAATTAAGTAATATTTTAATTTTTATTATTGGTTATTGTCATCTAAAATAATGAGAATAAAGCAATATTTATAGCTTAAAATTTTAACCAGATAATATATTGTTAATTTTTTTCGAACAATAACCTTTGAGAAGATGGCAGGTGTGACACACAATAGATGATTAAATTGAAATAAAAAAATATTGTTGATTCTCTAAGATGACAGAACAGTTTTATGGATCCCCAGGGTCATCAAACTTAGCAAAGCACTACTTGTGTGATGAATCCAAGTACAAATGACTTTTGAAAAATAAAAAAATGTGCAATGTTCTAGTTTTATTAATGAAGAGATTTTATGTACTCTTGAAGATTGTTTGTACTGTCAAATATATTATGAAAAAGACAGGCAGTTGTTTCAACATAAAATTCTTTAAGCTGTTTGCATTTAAATTGAAGAAACATTGAAAAATTGTTTATGTAATATGGATGTATTAGAAGTCATGCATTCATTAATTTATTACAGAATATGGCTCTTATTGAAATAAAACTGTCATTGAATGATTCTTTGGAATCGGATATTTCCTGCTATTTGTGTAACTTCTTGTGTAGTTTGTTGAATTTAATTACTACTGTACTTTAAAAGAAGACTCAACTAATGAGTATAACTCAAGAATTCAAAACTTTTATTATTACATTTTTAAACAGTTCACATGACATTCAGCTAGCACAGTAACACGTGCATCACAACAACGGAATGCTAAGTTAAAGTTTATTTACAGTTACAGTTACAGTTGTAGTTAATTTAAATATACATCACATCCCTTCCTCCAGTTTATAAACAATAATAAAAATAGCAAATAATATTGTTACGAATTTGGTATTTAAAAAGCTAATGTTAGTTCAATTATAAATTAAGTAGTTTTATTTCCCCCGCAGTGCATCGCGTGACGAATATTAAAAGAAGAAAGCTAAGCCGGAAAATTAAAAATACAAGAGCGCGTGCATTAAATAAATATAAATATCTCTTTTTGATTTCGAGAAAGTACTGGAAAATTCTAGCGCGTGATTTTAAAATCTTATAAAAGGAGGAAAACATCTCAGTTCGTGGTAGTTGCTTAATTTGTTGTTGTTTAGAAAACTGTTCTTGTTGATTGTAGCGAATTCGCGGATTAGCTTTCTTTAGCTGTTTTGAATTACGTTCTATTGGACATTTGAGTAGTTAAAAGATAACTACTGTGAGATATTGTAATACTGCATGATAATTTGAGAAAATTTAAGCATTTTTGTTGTGATAATAATAAATTTTTGTTCATTTTTCATCGGACTTGTGCATTCATTTCATAACGAAAACCCGTACGCACGCAACAATTTTTGGTGTCAGGAGTGGGGTATTGAATGCCAATCACAAGAGCGATGGAAGAACAGTTAAAACAATTCATGGCAGCCTTTGCTACATTTAAAGAAGAGATGAAAGACTCTGTTAAAAAAGAAATTAGGTCCGTTAAAGAAGAAATGAAGTTGGGCCAGGAATCTATTAAGGAGGAAATGAAAGTAGGTCAAGAGGAATTGAAGAGGGAAATTACTTGCATAATAGAAAACAAGTTCCAAGCTATGGAAGGAAGAATGGATACAGTTGAAGACAAAGTTGGAGAAATTCAAGAAAGAGTTTCTGCGGTAGAGCAACAAATTGAAAAAAGAGTTTCTGCCGTCCAACAACAAATTGAGGAAAGGATTTCTGCTGCTGTTGCAAAAGAAGTTGACACTTTAAAGAAGAGCATAGCGACAGAAGGAAGTAATTCTGAGGGTTTTAAATTCTTACCAATGCCTGCTCGTCCATCTCTGAAGTTATCCACATATGATGGGAAGACATCCTGGCAAGTGTATAAAACACAATTTTCTATCGTTTCGGATGCGAATGGATGGGATTCCCAAACTAAGGCCTATCATCTCGCCGCTCCTCTGAGAGCAGACGCAGCGGATATCCTGCAGACACTTCCAGAAATCCAAAGACTTGACTTCGAAGCTCTATTCTGCGCATTGGAGCTGCGCTTTGGCGAGAAGTGTTTAAAAGACTATAGCAGACTTCAATTAAAATCCCGTCAACAGAAGCCCACCGAATCACTCCAGGAACTCGCCACGGATGTTGAAAGGCTGTCCCACCTCGCCTTTACGGAGTGCCCGAGAGAAACGAGGGAAATCCCGTCCCTGCAGTACTTTATCGATGGCATCCGTGATCCCGAAATACAGAAGGCTCTACGAATGGCGGATGTTAAAGATTTAAAAAGCGCTCTAGTGTACGCCATGAAATTCGAGGCAGCCCAGCAAGCCACTCGTCGAGACCGCCACCCAGTCAGAGCTGCTCAAGTGCAGGAGCCAGGGGATCAAGTCACCGCTCGTCTAGACGATTTAACTAGACAACTGAACTCCTTGAGACGGAATATTGGTGAGAAGAAACCGACCGTTAAGTGCTGGAACTGCGGTGCTGAAGGACACATAAGACGGAATTGCAGAACACCCCAGGGTACGGAATATAAAGCAGATGATTTTACCAGACAAGTCAGTGACTTGAGACGGAACAGAAGTGAAAAGAAAACTAATTCTAAAGTGCTGGAACTGCGGAGTTGAAGGCCACATACGAAGAAACTGCAGAACACCTCGAGGTACGAAAAATAAGACCATTTCCCAGCAACGACGCAGTAAACAAATTAATGACCATATCAAGGAACGGAGGTTGCCAGATAATGAAAAACCCTGTTTTAAAGCGCTTAAGATCTCTATAGTGAGTGGCAACAATTACGGACTGTCCATCAATGGGAATATCGATGGAGTTCCTTGCAATATGATCATTGACACAGGAGCTAATGTTACCATCATTAGGAAAGATTTAGCTGAACAGTTTAAAGATAAACTTATTTGGACGCCATCCTGTGTTACCCTTCAGACTGCGTCTGGTGACAAGATCGACATAGCTGGGAAGTTAAACGTGAACATCACGTTTGGAAGTGCCGCCTACCATCACACGGCATATGTGGCGGATATTACAGATCCATGCATACTTAGATTGGACTTTTTAAGGAAATACAATTTTTCCTTAGACTTCAAAAACAACAAACTGCTTTCAGCATCTGGTGACATGACTATCCATCCTCAGAAGAGATCCTGACCTGGAAATGCCGACGCCTTGTCCGAAAGATCCGGCTCGGGAAGCCGCCGAAATCATGCTAGGGTCGAAAAGAAACGCAAGACTACCAGCTATTCTCCATCTCAGAAGCTCTTCGGTCGAGACCTTCGTCTGCCTTGTAACCGCCTGTTTGGTCGCCCTACGGATGCGCCTTCATCGCCTGAGGAACACATCCAAGATGTCCAGGCCCGGTTTGAGGGGATGCACCGTTCTGCACGAAAGCGAGTCAACTTGGCGACGGAGAAAGTGAAGACCAGATACGACACGCGAGCTACTAGACATAGATCCAACAAAGGAGACAAAGTGTGGTTGTGGAACTCGATTCAACGAAAAGGACTGAGTCCTAAATTACAGTCACCTTCCGATGATCCGTATACAGTGCTGAACAGACTGAATGACGTCATGGTTCGGATTCGTAAGTCTTCGAACTCTGAAGTCGTTCATTACGACAGGTTAGCTCATTACTACGGCCATAGTACATAATGTAAATAATTGTAAATAGTGTAAGACCATGGCCCTTTTTTTGTTTTCAAATGTGTATTTGATTTGATTTGTATTTAGTATTTGATTTGCATTTAGTATTTGATTTGTATTTGATAGCATTTGTTTAAGTTATCTATTGCATTTATTTTTCATGTTGTTTATTATTGTAATGTAATGCTTATTAATGCATTTACGCCACAGTTGTAAGTTTGGCTTCCTGTCCAGGGATTGTACTGCCTGGGACGTGCAGTCCTTGGGAAGGGGGCAGTGTTACCAATTTGGTATTTAAAAAGCTAATGTTAGTTCAATTATAAATTAATTGGTTTTATTTTCCCCGCAGTGCAGCGCGTGACGAATATTAAAAGAAGAAAGCTAAGCCGGAAAATTAAAAATACAAGAGCGCGTGCATTCAATAAACAAATATCTGTTTTTGATTTCGAGAAAGTACTGGAAAATTCTAGCGCGTGATTTTAAAATCTTATAAAAGGAGGAAAACATCTCAGTTCGTGGTAGTTGCTTAATTTGTTGTTGTTTAGAAAACTGCTTGATTGTAGCGAATTCGCGGATTAGCTTTCTTTAGCTGTTTTGAATTACGTTCTATTGGACATTTGAGTAGTTAAAAGATAACTACTGTGAGATATTGTAATACTGCATTGGTAATTTGAGAAAATTTAAGCATTTTTGTTGTAATAATAATAAATTTTTGTTCATTTTTCATCGGACTTGTGCATTCATTTCATAACGAACCCGTACGCACGCAACAATATCAATACAAGTATATTCACAATATGACATATAATAAAAAAAAAGTTACATAAAAATGATATATGCATTATGTTACATTATTTTATTCCATGACAAAGTCTCTATATCTTGAAGGTTGTCTAATCAACCGTCCACTTCTTCACTTACTTCACTTCACTATT